GAGCTCGCCTACCGCGACAGATGCGTCGCCACACCATTGGCAGCTCGGTGACCACCTCCGAGGATGAGGGTCTGGAGAGCTCCGATCATGGCTCTCCGCACTTTGGCAACACGCTGCTGCCACCGCAGCCGACCACGCCATGCGGCATCACGTTCACTCTGTCGCCAACCAATGGCGATTATCCACCATTTCCGACCTATGCGTTCCCCATTGATCCTGGCTCACCGCCCATATCGCCGATGCCCGTCGCACGGGCCAGCCCATTGCTGGAGCTACCGCCAACTGCAACTGGACCTCAGCAGTTGGGCGCCACTGCGGCAGCTGCCGCTGCAGCGCTGACTCTACCGGCTATTGCCACCAGCGGTGCGGCCAGCTGCGTCAGCGCCGATGCCGACGATGCCGGCGCTGCCATGGGCGTGCCAATGGGGCGGGCCAGACGTCGCTCCATTTCGCGACAGGAAGCCATCTTTGTGGAGCCCACCGGCAGCTCGCTAGAGAATGTGTCGCACGAGGAGGTGGACACCACCAAGTCATCGGTAGACACCGCCGATTCGCTCGAGGAAGCCTCCACCATGGCCACTTGTGGCTCTCCGACGGCAGCCGCTGCCGCTGCTGCTCATCATGCAGCATTTGTAGTGCGGGACATTTATCTAACCGTGCCCGATCTGAAGCGCGACCGTGCCGCCTCGGTAGACTCGTGCTTCTCGAAGCTCTCATCTGGCGGCAAGACCGAGGAGCTACAGCCCTCTGATGACGGTTGTTTCCTCGCCGTGCCCAATGTCAATGCAACGCGCTCCCGATCCGTGGACATTGTCCTGCCCACCGACGAGCAGGCTCGCTACAAGGCGCTCGCCATGACCGGAAGTGGAGCAGCCGGTGGTCTCTATGCGGATGGGTATGTTCAGCCTTAAGTCTCTCTCTCTCTCGCTTTCTCTGTTAAGCTTCAGTTTACGTTTGTTTTCTCGTCTTGTGTTCTGTTCCTTTACGTTTGGCTTCTGTTTGCGCGAGGGTTGCCACAAGGATTTGGCGATTCAATATATTTGTTCTTAATCATAATCATTTTTATTTAAGGTATAGCTTATGAAATTGCAATAACAAGCTTGAAAAACTAATGCAAATAGCTTTCTATGTGCTTTCGTTAGCACGCGAAATCTAAAACAAATCGCTCGTGAGGTAAAACTAACAATTAAGAAGTATTTAATTTTTGAAATGATCGATATATGTTTTAAGATTGAGACTTGCATATACATATTTCATGAAAAGTCAAAGTATGAGCATGAAAGTTATCGAACGTTATCGCTGTCGGGGTGAAATTATATATTTCGGATCGTGTTAACTTCAGAGTATTAAAGCAATCGATATTTATCGCTGTCAATAACTATTGAGGTCAGTTTTAAAGAAGGTTGCAGACATTTTGTACATTAGATATTGAAGACAATTGATAGTTGTCGCAAGCAAGCAAACAGTCGAAAATAATTCGTATACTGTATATATATATATTTATATATTATATATTTGCTACTATCGGTACACACTGAGGTCCGCAAACAAGCAGTGCTGAGGCTTGTCGGCTTTGAAATAAAAAAATCGACAGTTATTGTTGTCGATATAGATTGAGGTCCGCAAAAACTAGTAAGCCTGAATTATTTTGTGTTTTGCTAACTGCAGGATTAGGAAATGTATCGATATTTATCGATAAAAGGTTACCGATTGAAGTGAGCCCACAATTCAATTTAAGGGTTATTAATTGTGAAGTTTCAAGGCTATCGATACTTATTATATCGATTTGGGTTTTTTTTACTACCGAGTATATTATATATATTCGATATATTCCCAACCAATTCGATTTTTGCTGAGCTTCACCCAGAAACCCTCACCCGATGAGGCGTTCGTGCCGTCATCCTTGACACGTGCTCGCCCAGTGGAGCGACATTTGATGCCAGTAATAGGGAGGTAAGGACAAGGAGGAGATGGCTCGCGGCTTAAGCCTAATTAGAAAAGAAGTCCGACTGACTGGCAGCCCAAAGTTTGAGCAGCAGTTCATAATTCACAGGCAGCGCACGGTCGTTGACTGAAAGGGCCGGGACTGGGGTATTGGAGGAAATCCACTTGGACTCGGAGAAGCTCCCGATTCAAACCATTCACAGGGTGTTTCGGCTGGCGTATGCATAAATTATGGCGGCCGTTGTTGAAAAAGCAGCTCAGCCAAGCGATTTCCTTGAATTACAACAAAAGTAGCTCATAAATAACATTCAAACAAAGTGTCCTGTTGCCCAAACTGACAGCTAAACGAACGGACGGACCGAACGGACAGCCAGACGGACGGATTAAAGGACAGCCGGACAGTCTGACAGCCGCCTAGCCGTATAGCCAGATAGCCGGACGGACAGCAGCCGCTTTACTCAAGAGTGTGTCGCCTGAGTGTGGCCAATTGTGGGCAATTTGTAAGCGGCCCATTGCGGAGTTTGGGGCGTGGTTCCCAAATATGGTTGAGCCGTTGTACAAAACTTGCTTAGATAGATTGATGATTATGAGTTTTGCGACAGGCATGCAAGTTAATCAGCCTGAAAAATACACAACTTTCCTGATGGATAGCCAAGTTAAGCGGCTAGTTTTTATTTTCTTTCGGTTTTTTTCCTTCTTGCGTGTCTCCTGCTATCTCTTGGATTCGAAAGTTTGAGGAGTATAGATTTTGACTAAGTTGCAGTTATCATATTAAATCACAGCTACTTGGAGTAAGGGCAAAAAAGCTTTAAGTGAGATTAATTGTGTTCTAATTTGCCAATTTAAAGCTAAAGTTGTTTCTTTTTCTTTTGATAGACTGAAATCTTAAATTAATACCCGAAATTGCGAAGAGTTCAGTCAAGTGATTTTGAAAGCTGCGTTAGATATTAGATTTTTTGAGGTTTAAAATTATTTTCCTCAGAAAGCTCAAAAGAGCTTTCGAATTGAGAATCTTATGTTTTCACTTCGAATGCTTGTAATCACAAAAAGGTTCGAAATTAAAATATATTTGAGCTTGAATGAAAAGAAGCTTTTCAATTAAATGCTTATATTTACTCAACAGCAAAGCTCATTAAAAGCTCTACCTCTGCAGGTTCTAGTAATACGTTTTCGTAATAGTTTTTTATGATTTCAACATTTTTTTGCGCTTTTGTTACACATCGTTTTCCGTCAACTGTCACTATATTAAATTACAACATATATTTAAATACTCACCGAAACTTATATCCGAGAAAAAAATGTGCACAAGAATTATATATTTTTTAATGTTACATCAGTGTTTGCTAAATTTACTAAGTTTATTCTTTTATTTCTATTACAGGTATGTACAAGCTGGTCAAATAAATAATTACTACTCCCCAAAGCCCAACCCAGACTCAATTTGCGCAGATAAGTACGAAACTGTTAGCTTTAAGCCAGATTCAGGAAAAAAAAGAAGGAAAGCGGATGCCACTAGCTATTGTATTTACACACGAGAGATTTCCTTTTTAATTTCCGATTCATGTGGTTACGTAGCGTGAGCTCATATAAGGGAGGATGTTCATTTATGAGCGGACTTCTATATATATATATATATATATATATTTGATTTTTTTGTCGAATTTTGATTCCTTTTGTTGGGTCTATTAGCAGGCGGCTTGGCATTCGGTTTGCGCCCCGAAGCGGACGGAGCCAATGGCCATCATAAAGTTGATTTTTGATTTACGATGCCCGGGCGTGACATGTTATTGTCTATCGGCTGCCACATACAGCACACAGTAAGGACTCTTATCGGGGCACGGTATCGGGTCTGTGTTGGCCCCAAACCCATTAACTGGCCAATGATATGTTTAATTTTTTGACCTTTTGCTCAATAAAATGGAAAATATTATAAAATCATTCAATCAAGCGCCGCATGTCAGTATTGCAGACATTCATCCAAACAGGCAGCCAGTCGGCCAGCCTTAGCTTTCAGCTTTCCCTTTTCGGGGCTATATGCGGCTCATTCATGCGATTTCCACGGCCATTATTGTGGCTTCTTTTTTGTTATTTTCGGCATCGGCTTCGTTTTCCCTTGGGCTGTTCAAACAACTACAATAATAATAATAATAACAATAACAGCAACAACAGCGACAACAACAGTTGCAAACACAAAGTTAACTTCACTTTTATGACAATAGCGAAAATAATTTTATGAAAACTCCCCAGAGGCGCAAAGAATTGCGCACATCTAAATTACCATAAATGCCAGAGGCGCCTCCCAGAAGGGAGCATTCGAATTGGGCGGGAGGGGTTAGCCACAGCTGATTGTAACTGCTCTAAAGGGGGGGTGCGTTTACAGCTGATACTTTGCCACAGTCCACAATTGGGTTGCCATCATATTAATCATACGCCACGTGGCACGTACTTACATGCAACAGCTGCAAGCAGACAGAAGCTAAGGTTAAGCGAGACGAGAGCTGTTGGCAATTAAACATGGCGGAAAACTAGTTGAGATTTCAAGCACATTTTGCACACGATTTAGCTTAAACCATGTTTAAATTATTCAAATAAGTAAAAGAAAAATGTGCTGATTTATTTTGTGACCACATTTTAAAGCGCACCCTGAGGAGTGTTTCGCCAATAGGTCTTATAGAGCACACAGGTTGCACGGTTGAATTGCAGTTATTGATGCTTATAATTATACAAATACCAAACATTATTGATCTATATACATATGTGTGCATACTTATATCTATATATTTCGATCATAACATTATTCGCTTCAGTTGAGCGATCCCTAAAATGTTTTCCATTTGATCAAATATTTAATAATAACGCAAATGGTTGCGCCTGAGCTGTGAGAGAGATCATGTGATCGTATATGAATTATATTCGAATAACATTCGCATTAAATTCAAATCAAGGAATGTTTCAGCCTCAGCGACCAACGATCCAATATATATATATTTCCTATATACATATTTATTTGTATAGATTGCTACAATATGTTTGATCCGTCATAGATATATATGTGTATCTAATGATTGGCATGAATTTTGAATATTAAACACCAATTAAATTTGAAAAACCTTGATCAATTGCCACATTAATTTTGGCGTGAAATTCGAAGAGCTGTTGTCTAGACTCTTCTTTGAGTTTTAGATAAGTTTCGATAAGCTTACAATTTTAAACGAGAGTTGATTAGATTCTAGAAATTTGGTTTAGCTGCAAATAGAGTCCGTTGCATTTGACGAATTCCCATTGCATTCCAATTTGAAACTGGCATGAGTCGAGTGTGTTTCTAGAATGCGTATGTATATGCATAGCTGCAACCTGATTGACTTCCGATGGCCACTCAATTTTTCGGCTAGATCATAAAAATGTCTACCATAATGCTGTCGATGTTGTTGTTGTTGTTGTTGCTGTCTTCGTTGTCAGTACTGTCCAGGGCAGGGCAGGGCAGCTGCAGCTGGAGTTCCAGTTCCGGATTGCTGACGCACACCGCAAACAACCAGCGCAACAAGAGGCAGCTAAAACAACAAGCAGATTTCAGTATTTTTTGCTTGCCGATACCCTATGCTCATTAAAATGATTAGAGGGTGTATCGAATTTTGAAATAGGTAATAGATAAAATTGATAGAGAAATGCAATGTGATAGCATATTACAGATAATCGTACCCCTACAGAAATTTCTTGGCGTGCCTTTAAAGCTTATTATACTTATAATGTATTTGAAAATTCTCGTGTTAATGTATATATGCTGAAAATGTTTTCAAATAAGATATATATATATATGCATATAAATCTAGATTTTCGTTTCCACTGTGAGCTAATGCCAAATGTATGTAGCGATCGCAAAAAAGTTTCGATACACAAAAAAAAAAACATACTTAGGGTATCACTTAGCCTGGCAGTCTTAGGTTCGCGCTCACTCTGACTTATCTGGCAACTACGTCATGAACAATCGTCAATCGACAGGCCGTCGGTCGTTTGTTTGCGCGCGGGGGTGGGGCCCCCACCATGAGTGCGGGGCACTCATAAGACAACGCCAACAACACAGGCAACAAAATTGTAATGCAAATTGAAGGCACAAAGCGAAAAATGCCAGTGAACAATCAAAGCGAGACAAAAGCAGCGCGCGGGCAGAGCTAAAAATGTCACCATGGAAATATGAAAGCAGCAGCCGCAAGAGATCTTTACGCCCCACCAAATGTGTAACCCACTCGCACTCGCACTCGCACTCACACAGAAGAGAACGTCACACAAAACTCACCACAAGGCTGAGGTGACAAAGCGCACAGCTTGCCGATCTGCTGACGTTGACGTCGACTTCGACGCCGACTGCTGCTCGACGCCTGCTGCTGCTGCTGCTGCTTCTCGGCGGCCGATCGCTGCTTCAGTTGCCGTGTGTGGTTGGACGCCGCCAGCTAGCAAAAAGAACGTGAACGTGAACCGTAAAAAGTCGCAGCATACGAAACGAAATAACGCGCGCACGCACGCACGCACGCACGCCCGTGCCGGCACACAATAAACCGCAAGCGTTGAGTAGCCACAAAAAATAGAAGAAAAAAACGTCAAAAAGTCTATACGAAATACCATGGAAAATCCGTAGCGGGAAATTTACAAAGTGTGTGCACAAGCTGGAAAAATCAATCAAAGTTTTTCTTCTCAATTTTCGGATACAATTTTTTTGTTTTTGTGCTGTCTCTTTGACTGGGACTGTGTGTGTGTGTGTGTGTGTGTGTGTGTATGTGTGTATGTGTGTATGGCCAGGCAGAGGACCTGTGAAACAGAGGAAAATTAGATAAAATTTATGGCTATTGTTATCGTTGTTGCCAGCCAGCCAATGTGCAAAATGTCAAATGAAAACAACAAATACGTAAAAAGGAAATGTCAAAAGATGCCGCACCATGTGCCGTGTGTGTGGGATCGGGCAGTAGGTAGGAGGGTATATATTGACTGTGGGTTAATTGACAGTTGCAACATTTGATATTCCACAGAGCATTCGCACAATTGACGGGGGGCAATGTTTAATTTAACTGATCGATGAACTTGAAAACAAAGAACACACAAATCAAATGAGACGAACACACACACGCACACCCAACACACACACACACACACACACACACACACACGCACGCACACTAACAAGTTACTCGCTGACTGAGGCATGTAAACAAACCACCGACGCAGTGTTGTAAAGTGCCAGCTCTTCACGCTTCAGCGATGTGGCAGCATTGTCCATTTCAAAAGTTGTTTTCATTGTCCTATGAAATCGTTCCCGAATTCATTAAGTCTATAATAAATTGTGCTGATTCTTAACAGCAGATAGTGGAGTTCATCTAATTGGCTATGCCAAAATATTAAGAGTAATATTATGGTACGCTTTCTGGAACATCTGTAAGATCTGCAGGCAAGAGGAAGTCTAAATGCAGCCCGAATAGGATATTCCTTGTTGTTTTTAATGTATATATAAATCATATGTAAAACTGTTCGTCTTGCCCGATTGACTGACCGATGTTCAACGGGCAGGCCAAACCGTGCTGAAGTTTTCATTGTTGTTACCTTATTTGATGGAGGTGCACGCTGAGACGAGCCTTTGGGAAATTCCACCCGCAAGTGTGTAAAAATCTTAAATATGGTCGTATTGCTTACCATCCGATTGACTCTTAACTCATTTTCAGAGAACTTTGCTATCAAAAATTCATTTGAGGGGTGCCTCACACTTTTTGGAAAATTCATAGCCCCTTCTTAGTGGAAATGTGTTTGACTAAATTTCGGGCTCAAAACCCTCTAAGAATCTTTGGAAACAATCATTTGAGACGTGTTTCACACTTTAAACAGAATCCAAGCTTCCTTAAAGATTTTAAGGGCGGAGTTCCAAGCCTTGAAACTTATATAGATTTGTACTATAATAAAAGCTCAAAGTGAATCATACTTTTAAAAAAATGTTCTAACAGCTCAAAAATTCTTAAATTACTTGTACATTTATGTAAATTAGCTAAAGAGCAAACTGGTATTTCCTTTCACGACCATTCGCAGTGGTTGATTCCAAGTTAAAAACAAAAACATGAATCATTATTTATAGAAGCAAGATCTTTAAAGTGAGCCTCAGCTAACTTTTAATATGCTTGTCGAATTTTTTAAAATTCAATCACTCTGTGCAAAGATGCGGAACGCATGGAAATATTCGAAACTTCGAAGCACAAACGGCACATTTAGCTTATAATTCCCAATCAGTTCAAGCGCTGACCTGGCAACGACAGCAGAAACAACGAATTGATCAAATGGAAATTAATTTTGTTACTCGCTAGCCACAAATAAACTAAACAATTTCAATTGTTTAGTTAATTGTTGTGGCCGCGTCTGCAACAGTGTGTTGCATGCGTCGCAATAGTTTTTGGGCTTTGGGCCTGCTCTGAGTTGGGGTGTGGCATGTGAACCAAAAGGCTAACTGCCAGCCATGACATTTCGAGAATTTCGCACTCATTTAAATGAGCGCAGCAGCAATTACAACAACAATAAGAACAATAGGAACAACAACAAGAACTACGTCGCGTTTCGTCTATTTTCTTTGATTTATTGTATAATTTTGTTGTTTTGGCGCTCGCTGCTGCTGTTGCTGTCGTTGCTGATGTTGCTGTTGTTATTGTTGTTGTTGGTCTAGGTTTTGCCTGATGGCAGCTGCGCCAAGAAAACATCACAGGGCAGCCAGCCAAGTCGAGCACGCTTCCCGTGCTGAGAAGCGGCAGCCAACCGGCATATTGCGCATACGCCCAGTGAGCCAAATATTGTAAATGTGCAATTTATGGCCAACTAATATCCAGTGGCAATTTATGACTGCATCAAATTGTTCATTTTAATCAAAAGAGCGCTCGTTTCGGCATTTCAGTATTTCAGTATTTCAGCCTTTCAGCCCGCGGCATCAGGCGCGAGGCACGTTTCCACCTGCCGGCAACAAAAAGTCCAAAAAAAGAAAGAAAGCAGAAAAAAATCACATAGAAAACCAAAAAGTATCAAAAGAAAAAAAAATGTGAAAATACAATAACACAAATATACTGAATATTATGTTAAAAATAAATATCAAGTCACATACATGTTTTAGATTTGAAACGTTCGACTTGTTGTTGCTGCAGATGTTGTTCTTGTTCTTGTTGTTGTTGTTCTTGTTGTTGTTGTTCTTGTTGTTGTTGTTGTTGCTGGTGTTGCTTATAATTAACTTAAGTATTTTTAGCAAAAGAAATTAACAACAACAGCGACAGCGACAGCGACAGCAGCCGCAGCCGCAGCAGCGACAACGACAACACAGACGGCAGCAAAAAATACACAACAACAACATCGAAAACAACAACAACAATAACAACAATATCCCGCAAAAGGCAAATAAAGTATTTCAATTAAAATACGAAAAACGTAAATTAAAATAAAGTCAAGCAAAGCAGCAGAAAACAACAAGAACAGCAAGAAAGAACTACTTGCTTCGGCACGCCGCACCTTAAATACCCTTGCAAGACTTTTGGCGTAGAAGTTGTCGTTTAAGACAAGAGCTTGAATTACGATATGACCAATAAATAGAACCGATTGTTCCTATTGCAGTCATATAATGCAATAGTCCAATTCGATGTTGCTAAGACGATATGTTTGAAGCAGAGTGAAAATCGTAGTTGCAGGGTATGTCGACTCGGTTGCTACTGAAATATATACATATATGTATGTATATGTATATATGTACCAAATCCGATCGGATCTTTTCTATTGCGTTACACATTTGCTGGCAAAATTTGAATGCCCTACGCGAGGGTGTAAAACAGAAAACAACTTTTTTTTTGTGCTCAACGTCGCCAACAAATTTGCAAAACGCGCCAAAAAAAATTATTTATACAAGCACACACACACTCGTACACACATACACACACATCGGTTAACCATATGTGTATGGCAAATGATTTACTTAGTTGTTGTTGCTTTTGTTGCAGCATTGTGCAACTTCTGTCTCTCCTTTGATCCTGCTACCGTTTGCCGCTTTGCATTTTGCTCTTTTTGTCAGTTTATTTATAAGCCAGGCAAACCCACTGCACCTCGCCCCCTCCCATCACATTGGGTCATTTTTCCGCGACCCGCCCCCCTTATTGCATAGTCTGTTTGTGTTTGTTGTTATTTGATTTGTTTGCTCGCCGCTTAAAATTCATTCATAAATTTTCCAGTCTATGATAAAAATTCATTGTGCAATAGATTAGAAAACTGTTTCCATGTTGACTTTTCAGTTTGCACACGCACGCCCACACACACACACAAGCACAGTTTAAACAAATTTGAACCGAAAATAGCTAGATTAGGTTTTTGGGGTTCTCTTATTAGTTTGTTTCATCTCAAGGGCATGCAACGAAGTTTTTCTTTTGTATGCGTAATCCCAAAATATTCCGAAATTATTCTATGCAAGGTTATTAAAAAAGTTTCGTATATCTCTTTCTTTTAGTAAAAGCATTAAGCATTGTAATTAAGCAATATATGGTGGCCCCTTGAAAGAACGATACAGATACAGATACAGATACAGATACAGATACAGATACAGATACAGATACAGATACAGATACAGATACAGATACAGATACAGATGCAGATGCAGATGCAGATGCAGATGCAGATGCAGATGCAGATGCAGATACAGATACAGATACATATACAGATACATTTACGATTTGATATTATTTTTTGTTGTCATTCTTATCTGTGCGATTCAGTTATTCTCTTTTGGCTGTGTTGGACTTTTCCGACTATTCACCTCGTTTACTTTTACATTTTCCTCAAGTCCTGCTAATTATTGTATAATTTTGGCACAACAACAAGGAGAACAAACAAAATGGGAATGCAAAATCAAAGCTTTGCCTTCGCCTCCTGAGCTGCTCCTGCTCCTCGCAGTTCGGCCTACAACCGGTCTGAGCACCTGTTTCCTGCTTAGTCTCCCAATCGCCCCGCCCGCTCGGCTTCTTGGTTTGTCGCCAACGTCATCAGCTGTTCCTCAACAGTTGGCTCTTCAGATTGTCTGCAAACTTTGGCTGATTTCTGGGAAACGTTCGACGTGCTGTACGCTTGTGCGACCCGAGCCACGCCCACCGCACTAGCCTTGCCTCGTGCCAGTTGATAGCCACTGAAGGAATCCTCCTGCCATTCGCTTGGACGCCAACGCAAATTTCCGTATTTCTTATTGAAATGTTTGCTCCTCGTCCTTGGACTCGCTTGTCCCGGCTCGTGCTGGCCGTTTCATTTTCAAATGCTTTGCCAGCCAAAACGCTTAATGCCAATTAAGAATATTAATGTCATTGGCAGCGATGCTCGTTTATTGTTGTGTGTGTGTGTGCCTCCCCCCACTCCCCCCTCTTTGCACACCCTCTCTCTCTCCGCAATCTGTGGGCGAGCCCATGCAACCCCCCCATCTGCTCTCCTTTGCTGGCGGCTTTGCAGCTGCATCGAACGAATCCCTGAAACCCATCCAGCTCGAGCACCAGTTTTCAAGCTTTTCCAGCTTCTCGTCAGCATTGTTAATATTCATTAGCTCGAAATCCTTGCTCGAGCGCGAAAGCTTAGAGCTCAAGTTGCCAGTTGCCAGTTGCCAGTCGCCGGTTGCCAGTTATCAGTTGCCAGGCCCTTCCTCTCCGTCTCCCTCTCCCTCTCCCTCACGCTCTCCCTCTCCATCTCTATCTCTATCTGTATGCCACTCCTTTTGCCGACTGCCACCAATTGAATTTCCCAGGCACCATTAATCGCAATCACAAACGAGAAGACGTGCAGATAATTTTTCATTTTGCGCAGCCCGAGCGGATTTTGCATTGGCCAAAGCGCACAAGCCGAATAAATTATATGCACATATAAATATGTTTATATATAAATGATGTCCATATATATGTAAATATATATGTTTATGTCTATATCGGTTTATTTATAAGTCTAGTGGCTATTTACTTTGGGCTTGTGGCCAGTTATTAATAGCAGCCTCTGCTTCAATTTCAATATGAGAAGCTGAGCCAAGCCAAACTCACCGCAAAGCTGGCAAAATAAACTCTGAGCTGTTGCCTGCTCAACGCGGCGTATACATTATTTCATTAATTGCGACAGCCAGCAAGTTTCAGAGAGAGGAAGCGAAAGGGGGTGAGCGAGGGAGGCAGGGAAAGGCTGAACAGAGCCAACTTTAATTAGCTTGTTTTATACAAGCTGAGAACTTGCAGCTCATTTAATTCCTATTATTGTCCGTGTCAAAGGTAGAAGCTCTAACTCTTGCACATTGTCTTTTACCCTGGCAGAGGGGACCATCATTATGTCTCGGAATGTGCAACGCTTGGAAGAATATATCATCGACCATTGATCAGTAATGTCCGTCTGTTTCTATCAAAGCAAATCTCAAATGTTACTCTTTATATTGCAAGCAGGATTATATATTGCTGGAGTATGGAACATGTATCGCAGGAGTGTATGTATCGACCTAACAAAAGGAAAAAAAGATTTGTTCGGCATATCGGTTTTTTTTTTTTTTGTGTTTTTTTTTTGTTTTTCAAAATATCTCGGCCAACCTGGGGCATTTAAGGGTCTCGCTATGATCCCTACAATGCGGACTTGCTTTAACTATCAAAACAATCCGTCGAAAATGTAGCTTTTGCGTTTAATGTATCTTGTTATTTGCCTATATTCAATTTCATATGAGAACTGTGAATGCTTCCGTAGATATAAACTTTGAGCAAATTTGGATTTGAGCAACAAATTTACGAGTCTTGTGCAACGTTCCCATTGCAAATGTGTTTGGTTTAGATTGACGAAAGGCAAGAAGCGTAAATGAAATGCAAATACATTTAGATATACGCACACGTATGTGCGAATCTTGCAACAAAGTCACAATATTATTGGCGAAATGTCGAGATATGCCCGCAAGAAATTCTTTGCTCGATCAGTCTGCGGGCTGCGGAGAGCAGACGATAATAATAATATTTTTATGATGTCGCAAAAGTAGCTCAGTGCTCAAATTCGAGAGCTGGGTGAATTCCTAGGCCGACCAAACGTAAATGCAAATTTGTGAATTGCAAAGTGTCATTTATTGAAAAGTGGATAAAAATATTTTCAAGGTTTTTATTGATTTTGTTAGTGTGCAGCGTGGGGAGTGGGAAGTAGGTTGTGTTTATGTGGGACTGGGAGAAATATTGAGTTTAGCGGCCCGAATGGCATTAACTGCGATGCGATGCGGTCTGCCGTCCATTAGTCGGCTCATCTCCCTACTCCACTTAATCACCTGACCCGGACACGGACCGGCAGCCGGCAGCCAGCAATCGGACTTGGACCGGGTGCCGGACCTATGGCTAGCTCCATTATCCATTCCCATATTCAGATTCAGATTCAGATTCAGCTACTTATTTGCATTTAGCCTTGTCCGTTCTGCCAGCTTCAAAGGCGAACAACAAAATTTAATCGCATATGAATTGAAATTGCGTTTCATGTTTTGCGACCAGCCCATGTTTGGCCCAATGGCTAATGATTGCGGCCAAAATTCTCAGTTGGCTGCCTGTTATTTGTCAACTGCCTGCGTTTATAATGTGTGTCGCTAGAAAAATGTTTAGATAGGGTATGCTGGCATTGAAAATCTGATTGCAACGGGCCCAAAATTGTCTTCACATAATAGATTCAATCGATCTTCAATTTGATGAATATTTAGTTGAGTTCGAAACTGATTTTTACTAGCGGTATGTTATTGAATAAGGCTTAAGCTAATTTTTAAATGTCGCCTTACTATGCGATTCTCATGCATTCAAAAGGGTCTTGACAGGTTAAATGCTTTCAAGTTTTTTTGGCAATCTAACTAACTTTACTTTTTGATTGTTTATGTATGTTTGTGTGCAAGTAAAAAGGAGTATGTATTCAGATAATAAATATCTGTAAACAGCTTGCCCTCAGCCTCCAATCCAGCTTTAATACTAGCTACAGACTTTTCTTTTCTGCTAGTAAATGCCTGAAATCCAAAGCCAAATTGTGTTTTAATGCCACATCCTGTGGCTCTCTGAACGATTGAAAATTTATTGCTAACTCAGCAAATCAACTGGCTATTAAATTTGTTAAGCTATGCCCCCTTATGAATACGGTCAGCTTTTTAATTGTCCTCCTGCTAATCCTGCGGCACTCATGTCCTTGCTCTTGTGTGTGTGTATGTGTGTGCTTCTGTGCTTTGACATAATTACACAGGTGCTAAAAATATCTACTCGACACAACAATTGCATCAAAAGCCATAAAATTCCAAACAAACTGCGCCGGTCAATCTAAACTTAGCCTGGCCGTCGTGGTTGGTCACGCCAGGGGAGATGGGTGAAGTGGCTGAGGAGATGGGTGGAGGGGCGGACAGGCAACGGTACAGTGGGACAGGTCATGGGCACAGCCGACGTCAATTGCACCTACACACACACACACTCACACGAATGCACGCTGCGTTTAGACGCTTAAACAAACAGAGTTGTCACCTTCCAAAAAAAAAATAAAATGGTTCGGCACGCGTCAAAAACAGCGACTAAAATCGCAGCCGCAGGCGACAAGCTGAACACACAGCTAGGCGAGCGATGAGAGACATTCTCACACACATACACACCAACGCCCACGCACACACACACGCATATTGATCAGCTGACAACGAACAGCGAATGGACATGGCACATTGTCGAAGGGTGTTGAGGCGCCCTAAATGCTGACAATTGACATGCAAATCCAAGCAACAACCAGCAATTTGCCTGGCCAATATCAACAGTAGCAACAACAACAACAACCACAACAACACTTACAACAACCAGGGTAGGGCTGCGCTTACTTAGTTGCCTCGCCTTTATAAGACAGACAGACAAGAGCGAGTGAGAGAGAGAGAGGGTGAGGATGACGATGAAGATGAGCATGAGGAAGAGGGAGAGGGAGAGAGGAAGAGACAGAGTAGCATTGTTTTTATTATTTTCATCTTGTTGCCCTGTTTTTTTTTGTTTTATTTTGTTTTTCATCTGAATCTGATAAGAATTTAATTACAATGCATACAATATACGAAATGTATACAAATGTATTAAGCACACGCACACACACGCACTCTTACACACACCGCACACACACGCACACAGACTAGATACAACAACACCCAGAACACGCACAGACAAGCCTCAGCGCTCGTGCTCTGCATAGCGGCAGGTGGAGACGACAGAGGAAACTCCAGTCACACGAATCCGTAATACGCTTGCTATATAAAAATAGAGAAAACGGGAAAGTACAGCTATCTACGACTAAAAGAAGATCTAATACCCTTGTAGACATTTGTCTTGCGCTTCTCCAGATATGTGCGATATTGTGAATAGCTCGTAAATGCTAAGTTTATTGAAAATATCTTGAAGAACCGAATATTTTGCCATACAGCAATTTATTTTTCAACAGCTTCTGGCTATAGTGCTATATTATATAGTAATGCGATCTGGACAAAATTTGGATATATGTATATGTTTAAGCAGAATAGTAAATCTAGGTCAACATATCTTGATAGAAGCTTTCACATGCAAGAACTTAATATTCGACCGATCGTTCCCATGACAGCTATATGATATATATAATATTAATAATATTATTGAATACAAAATTTCAATATCGAGTCCAAACAGTAAAAGACTTAAGTTCGATTTACAAACTTAGGCATGCAAAATAAAATTCTTTGATATTTTTTTTTATTCAATATTCTTTATTTTCTATAAATGATAATGCTCTCACGTTGCAATTTCAATCTTCCATTATCCTCAAAAAAGGTTTTTAGCTTGTAAAAGAAACATGTATTTCTAGACACTTATTAAATGTTCCTCTTCCATTGTTGCCACGTCTTGTGATATTTTTTGATTAGATCTGTAAATGCTTAATGTTCCAATTCCGTCATTCCTATTTTTGCGTCAATTGGTATTATTAGCGAGCTGTCAAACACACGGTACGCTGGAATGGAACCATAATTATATATTTAGGCATTTGATTGATGGGCCCAAAAGCCTTAAAGGTCCTTGAGCTAAGTGTTAGTCCTTTGTGCCCCGGTTCGCTTTGCATTTCTGTCTCTACTGCCTCAGGGGAAAAACTATATACCACACATACACTCACCTCCATGTAGGTATGTATAAATGTTTGTAAAAACCACGTTACAGTTGTTTCTTTGCGGTATATCTTAAGACGACATAATGATAACAAGAGCCTCTGTCATTGGCACAGGCCAACTTGCAGTCGCACTCGCAGCCGCAGTCGCAGTCGCCGTTGCCGTCGAAGCGGGTTAGCTAGCACAAACTATGCGACAATGTGGTCCAAAACAAACTACACGCAGCTAAAACTCTACGCAATGCCAAAGGCAAAAGCACAAGCAAACGCAAACGCAATAGCAAAAGCAAGTGCAAAAGCAAAAGCAAAAGCAAAATCAAATGCAAAATCATATTCAAACTCAGATGCGAAATCGAATGTGTAATGAAGTCAAGTGAAGTGAAGTGAAATGAATTTGTAGACGGAGAGCGCGCGGGGGCAGCAGCTCACGGTTTGCCATGTTCATATCTTATTTGCACTGTGACAGCGACAACAACAACAACAACATCAGCAGCAGCAGCAGCAGCAGCAGCAGCAGCAGCAGCAGTAGCAGCAGCAGCAGCAGCAGCAGCAGCACGGCGAGCGTGGCGACGCCTACGTCCACGCCAGCGTCGACACCAACGTCGACGCCAACGTCAACGCCGCTGCTGAACATGGAGCGTTTGCTGCATGCGGTACGCGAGGAATTCCAAACAGAAGATGAGTACGTAGAGGAGGAAGCTGACGCCAGCAGCAGTAGCAGCAGTAGCAGCAGTAGCAGCAGCAGCGTCGCGTTGACGTCAGCGTCGAATCAGCAGAGCGAACTCTTTGCCGCAACGCCTGCATGCACTGGGGCAATGGGTGTAGGCGCGGTCGGGGGCGCCGCTGCGGGAACTGTGCGTCGCTTTCGACGCTCCTCGATTGGCATGCAACGCAAGTCGGCATTCCGCCAAAGGAAACTCGACTCGCTAGGGGCGTGGCGGCGCAAGAGGTGAGTCCCAGCCGCTGCAAGGGGCGCTCCCTAATGGAAATGGAAATGTGGGAAACTGGCAAGGAAAACGCCCCGCGCCAAAGAACAAAGAACAGCAGAGCCAAACAGCGCAAAATGAATAACAAATACTCAAATCTCATTTGTGAATGTACTCGTAAATATGCGAGTGTATCAAGTACCTTCTCAAACACTCATTAGTAAATTTAATCGCAACTATGCGAGGGCTGCTCCACAACTAGCCGATAATCGGCTAGACGCTGAGAAGCTGCTCGATATTGCTTATCAAATTTACATGATTTGAATAAATTAATTTAAATTTTTCGTTAAATGTTTACTGACTCACTAAACACTCGATATCCATGATAATACTCTGGAAAAATCAAGCTATAGTTACAGAATGATAGATGTCATAGTTAGATCTCAAGATTTTATATGCCCGATATAATAATTGTAATTCTTAAAAATGAAAGATGTGACATTTGATATGATGATATATATATAATCTCATGTCAAATCTTCATCGTTTCTGGCTCCCATTAAAATATGCTCTTCTTTTCTTGCTCTACCCATACGATATACATAGACGTACGGCCTCTTCGAGCAATGCCCGTAGGCCGATACGCATTGTGCCGGACTGGACGGAGAATGCGGTGCAGGGCGAGCATTACTGGAAGCCCACCTCGGCCTCGGGTGATCTCTGCTGTCTCAACGAGGAGTGCATTGTAAGTACCACACGCAAACACACGCAAACACACACACGCACACACTCACATTGGCTGGCACAGTTGGGATTTGGGCTTACGATATTGGACTGAGTTTTTTTGGGGTTTACTTCTAATTCAATTACCGCGAGGAGCACAAAAAGCGAAAAGCGCCAAGTAGAATGAAACTTCATGTAATCGTGTAATTTATTTATTGCGTGCTTGTGCGATATGTACGAGTACATACATACATATATATATATATATATATATATATATATATATATATATATATATATATATAAATATATATATAACTTGTTCATATGTATAATTTGCTGCACACGCAATACGTTGAGGGACCGTGGCGGGGCCTGGGCAAATGGCTCCTCTCTTTTACATCCGGACACACAATGCTTGCTGTCAAAAGTTACAAGTAGTTTGTCATTAGGTGATGTAAAGGTAAACTTTGGCACAGGCAGCACGGCTGATTAACTAAATGAAAGTACGAATGTTGATTATCTGCATGTGTGGAAAGCCCAGTCACGACATGGTTCCGATAAATTATATTGGATGGAGAACATATATTATTGAAGCTTCTTGAAAGGACGCCTACAGTATTGGCTGCCCAAATTTGAGAAAATGTTCCACACTGACAAAAAGCTTGCGAGAGAGAGAGAGAGAGAGAGAGCTATAAGGGCCAAGTTAAGCAATACTTAAGCCTTACAACAACATACAACAGTAAAATCAAATAATGAAAGCGAAGCATAGTGCACAGTTGTGCTTGGTTAAGTTTTCCGCTCAGGTGAACTTTATTTTGTTTGCTAGTAGGGGCAAAAAAGCGAAGTGAATTAGCTGTGAGCTAGTTGAGTAAAAAGTCGCTTAGAGCTTTCATATGCTTCGACAGCTGCTCTCACGACTATTAAAGCTTCATAAAACGTGCGATAAGTTAGATAGAGGGGAGCTTTAAGGAAGCTTTATTGTTGGCATTCAGTTCTCCCACCTTCCTCTTTTCAAGCCACTTGCTGCTTCTTTCAAGTACTTCCAAAGCTGTTCTCACAACAATAAAAGTGCCTTTAAAGCTTGTTATAAACAGCATAGTGAGAGCTTTAAGTGAGCTTTATTGCTGTCGTTCAGTACTATACATGCATCCCACTACGATAAAAGCTACTTTCAAGCTTGTTATAAGTTAGTGGGAGAGAGCTTTAAGGGAGGCTTATTGCTTGTCTTCAATACAATACGTGCCTTGAACTTTTTTTCAAGTGCCATCAAAGCTTCCTAAATTGCTCGATAAGGTAGTTAGAGGAGAGCTTTAAGGGAGCTTTATTGTTGTCGTTAAATACAATACGTGTCTCTGGGACCCTCCCTTTCCAAGACACGTGCAGCTCCTGTCATTTTGAATTAAAGCAACACGACAGGATTCTGCCTGTGACAGAGTGACAGACGTACAGCTTGAGTGGAAAATAATTGCAAAAGTTTATTTCAAGACAAGTAGCTAGTAGTAGATAGCTGCTCAATGGCCCAGTGGGCGGCTGTCAGCTTAGTTGGCCAACTGGCCAATTGAATGAGACAAACTGCGTTTATGCGTTTCTAATGTACACACCTTTCCCCTGCCCTTCAACCACCATCCTACATACTGCATTTTCCGTCCTCTGTATGGCTGTCTGATTGCGTTCGTGTACTTGCAGAAGAGCGGACAGCGCATGAAGTGCTCGGCTTGTCAGCTGATTGCACATCAGAATTGCATTCCAATAGTGAATGAAAAGACTCAGCTAGCGTGTAAGCCAACCTATCGGGATGTGGGCATCAGGCAGTACCGGGAACAGACGACCACCCACCACCACTGGGTGCACCGCAAGCTGGAGAAGGGCAAGTGCAAGCACTGTGGCAAGGTGAGTAGCACACATTGTAACAGCCCCATCCAAACCACGACTCGACCTTCTCTTGTTGCAGGCGGTGCAGAGTAAACTCTTTGGATCAAAGGAAATTGTCGCCCTATCCTGTGCATGGTGCCACGAGATTTACCATAATAAGGAGTCGTGCTTCAATCAGGCCAAGATTGGCGAGGAATGCCGCCTGGGTAAGTTCAGACATTCGGACATTTTCCTTATCGATGCCCGTCCAGGCTCCACGAGAGCCAGCCCAGCCGTCCCATTGTCCATTCTTCATTCTCCATTGTGTTCTCTCTGATTAATTACGTGACGCGAATGCAAATAAATTGCGGCCCGTTAACTTAATTAAAATTTGTGCATTAAAACGTCCAAACCGCCACCCCCTATCCCCTACCCGCCCCTTACCCAGTCCCTGCCCCTGACCGTTAACCCCTTATGCAGACGACCCAAGCCCATTTGTCCACAAGGTAGTTTGTGACACACCTCTCGACCCTTTTGACTCATTACCATTGCCCACTCGCTCATTGTCCCATTGTCTTCATTTACAACAGCCACTAGTAGTTGTCTCTTTTTCATTTGTGTGGGCTATACCCTAACCATAGGGTATATTAGCTTCAATAACCAAGTATTTTAAAGGCATAACTGTTTGATTTTAACAAGTTACTCATTAATATTAATCGATAATATAAGATTCGACAGTATAATAAATTATGCGTTGAAATTTAATTTATTCTTTTTTATTTTACTATAATTGCTTATTAATATAATTTATTTTATTTTAATATACTTGTTTGTTATTTTATTAATTTGGAAATAATAAAACCTGAACACCCAAATTTCATAAATAAATACGCAATACAAGTTGAATTATGCATATAAATTTAAAATATTATTGTTAGTTATTGTTTTATATTATGTCATGTTTTATTTATAAATTTGTTATTATTATTATATATTTATTGATACATTTATTTTTTATGTTGGTCTTCATAATTTTTATTTGCTTTATGCAAATAACGATGATTTTAAGAAAAAGAGCATGCATACATTTTTCTTCTTTCACTAATTCCATTTCATTTATTGTTTCTTTTTTGTACTCTTCTTCTTTTCCGGAAATCTTGTCTGCCCCAAAGAGCATTTCCCCTTAGGTCAATCTCTGTTCCACACTTGCGTCTACTCATTTCGCATCTGTCTTCGCTTTTGGGTCAAGTTTTAAGGTCATTAGCATTTGTTCCGCGGAATTGACAATTTGTCAGTTCATGGTCCCGGCACAAAGTCAATAGTTGAACCCAATACGTGGCCGATGAGACTTTGAAAAGTATTCGCGACGTCACGACGGACCGTAATTAGGGCCGTCGCTTGATTTTGACTTATTTAATTGAAATGCAAAACACACACACACACACACACTGGCGCACAGCAGCCTATAGCTTCGCAAAATCAAATCAGGCTGATTGGAGAGTTGAATTGCCTGCGTCCTCTATTGATGGCCAGTTTGGGAAATATTTTTAGCAAATCGGCAATTTAACAGTCTTTATTTAATTTAATTGAAAAGCGCAGCGAAAACTGCACATAAGCCCGGAACGAAACTCGATTGTTCGCTAAAAAGCAATTTGCATATTGGCGCCTTGGAATAACGTTTCCTATTAATCGATTCGAAATAGAGTTTTTGGGGCTCTAAATGGAAAGGAAAGGATATATCTAAAGGTGAACTGAAAGAAGCCAAAAGAATATGTGCATTTTTAAGCATATAATGAGTAATAGAATACATAAAAATAATATATTAAATAAATAATTTATGTATACATAGAATTTAGCAAGCTTTAGTCGAGAAATCCTGACCTTCCAGGAGTCTTTTATAACTTCAATGTTTATTGTTCGATGAACATGAAATTTTCAATGAATAAACATGGCATTCGAATATGCTTAAATACTAGAGGTGTCCAAAATGTGAAATATTTTTAATCTACATGAGCGACTACATTAGCCAACCAGCCATATACCTCTTTAAGCCAATTACAATGTTGACCACGTTGGGGCATAGCTCGTTGTCTAAAGAGCTCAAATGTCAAGTCTGGTGTCGCATTGGAAATGAAAGTTTTGAATCGCATTTTGCATTTTTCCATTCTGGTGGTCATCTCATTGCAACGGTTGCCAGCAGCAGTTAGTGTTAAACTGCCAAAACTTGCAGAGGCCAGATAGACGCTTCTGCTGACTGCTCTGTCTCTGGCTGCAACAAAAGGAAAGCCCAACCATTGACCATGGTGGAGAGGAGGCAGCTGGGGTGCTTGTGTAAGGACTGGTGTCAGAGCTCTGCCTGTGCATGGCTGAGGCTGTAAATGCTTTTTATAAAGTGTCTCAATGAGCGTCTTGTTAACACACTCTCCAGCATCGCATTACACACAGACGACACACACGCACACACACACAATGACAGTGAGACAATGAGGATGCCACAGGACAACGAAATAAAGCGCAAAATACAATTACAGGCGGGCGTTCGTGAGGCCTCGAGCCGCCTTAACAACCCACGCACATGACAACCACACACAGACACACATCCACCCCTCTGCTGCTTGCCTGCTATTGCAGTGCGTAGCTCAGGTTGTCTTCTGGCTCAGTTTTGCTGCCGCCTTTGGCCTGTCTTCAAGTCCTGGCCTGGCTAACGGCCTGCCCGTCTGGCTGTCCTGTTCTCCATCTGTCTCTGCGCCAGTTTGTCCTGTTCCGTAGCGTGTGGCTCTCTTCCACCTGCCGCTCACTCGGCAATCTCGCTCGCTTCTGTTGTGGTATTCATAATTGCGCCTTGACTTGGGCAAGGAAGGACCTTGGTATGTCGACTCGGTGCGTGGCAGCATGCGGCTTCATCTCAATTTCTTTTGTTTGTCAGTGGCTCGTGACTGACTTCTGGCATATTTTCTATGCTATTAACTTGTCTTTGTTGTTGTTGGTGGGTGCTCTTGGTGGTTCAGCTTGTGATTGCTTTGCAGGTGGCAAGTGGAATTTGCTGCTCCCTGGCATTTCTGGCTGGCCGCAGACAAGCTCTCAATTAGCTGCCCTGGCAACGAGTTGGTCAGCTGCCAATGTTGACACGCATCTTAAACGCAATTCAACCATTTATGAGCATTATACCCGCACCCTCTCACCCTCTCTCTCTCTCTCTCTCTCTCTCTCTGTCTCTCTCTGTCTATTCCAATCTAACATTTTGTGCTTGCAGGCAACTATGCGCCCATCATTGTGCCACCGTCATGGATTGTCAAGCTACCGAATAAGGGCAACTTCAAGTCCTCGATACGTGTGAGCAACAAGACCAGTTCGGCCGGTGGTGCGGCTGGCGGTGGGGCTGGTTCTGGCGCTGGTGGCAAGAGTAAGAAGAACACCCAGAAACGCCAGAAGGCCAAGGAGGAGAAAAAGGAGCCGCGCGCCTTCATTGTGAAGCCCATTCCATCGCCGGATGTAATACCGGTTATTGTCTTTATCAATCCAAAATCTGGTGGCAATCAGGGCGTCAAGCTATTGGGCAAGTTCCAGCATTTGCTCAATCCACGCCAGGTATTCGATCTGACACAAGGTGGTCCCAAAATGGGGTAAGTGTTGGCCTTAAATGGCAAAAGAATAAATATTTTTCAAATGCTTTCCAAAATTGTATATTCAAATTCGATTATGTGAGTAGTTGCCACAATAGTTTGGTTAATCTACATTAGAGTAATATAGTTCTGCTTAGTTATAATCGAATCTCTTCCCATCATTTTCTCACTTTCCAGTCTGGACATGTTCCGCAAGGCTCCGAATTTACGCGTGTTGGCCTGTGGCGGCGATGGCACCGTCGGTTGGGTGCTATCCGTACTGGATCAGATCCATCCACCGCTGATGCCGGTGCCGGCGGTGGGCGTCTTGCCACTGGGCACCGGCAATGATCTCGCCCGATCGCTCGGCTGGGGCGGCGTAAGTATATTTAATGGATTTCAATTTCGATCTCGGACTTATTTGTGGCTGCATTCTCCATCACGCACAGGGCTATACTGATGAGCCTATTGGCAAGGTACTGCGTGAGGTCGGCATGTCGCAGTGCGTCCTAATGGATCGCTGGAGTGTCAAGGTGACGCCCAACGAGGATGTGACCGATGATCATGTTGACCGCAGCAAGTCGAATGTGCCGTTGAACGTGATTAACAATTACTTCAGCTTTGGCGTGGATGCGCACATTGCGCTTGAATTCCATGAGGCACGCGAGGCTCATCCGGAACGCTTCAATTCACGGCTACGCAACAAGATGTACTACGGCCAAATGGGCGGCAAGGATCTGATTCTGCGCCAATATCGCAATCTCTCGCAGTGGGTGACCCTCGAGTGCGATGGCCAAGATTATACAAGCAAGCTACGCGATGCCGGCTGCCATGCTGTGCTCTTTCTCAACATACCAAGGTGAGTTCTCTTCCGCTCCCGCTCCCTCTCTTTCTTGCTCCTTCAATAGATTGCTAACATTTACCATCCACAGCTATGGCGGCGGCACACATCCCTGGAACGACTCTTTCGGTCAGACTAAGCCCAACATTGATGACGGACTCATGGAGGTCGTGGGCCTGACCACCTATCAGCTACCCATGCTGCAGGCGGGCATGCACGGCACCTGCATCTGCCAGTGCCGCAAGGCCCGCATCATCACCAGACGTACCATTCCCATGCAGGTCGATGGCGAGGCCTGTCGCGTCAAGCCATCCATCATTGAGATCGAGCTGCTCAACCAGGCGCTTATGTTGTCCAAGCGCAAGCACGGACGCGGAGATGTCCAGTGAGTATGGATGTACCAAGAGCCTGAACTCTAACCCAACCTAACCCAAGCACTGAACACACACCCGCAGCTCAACTGACCAAAAGCCGCTCAAATACAGCGAGTTTAATTCTTACAGCAAGTTTGAGAGCGATTTTTTGATGATGCAGTTGTAGACGATCCATGCAGTCTGATCTATCCTTTGCGAAAGAACAAAAAAAAAAAACAAACAAACAACAACTATGCGCTTTTCGGTTTAGAATGGAAAGAATTTAGAAAATGAAACGTTTTTATGTCAATTCGATCGGGATACTAAATACGCAATCGATGATCTAAATACGGACCACTTGAGTAGTCCTGTAATTCGAAATGATACATACCCCAGATTTTATACAACCGCCTTTATTAGTTGCTTCGTTCGCTGTGATACTTGCAAAGCCGATCCTCCAGTTGAATAGTTATTCCAAATATCTTTCGTTCCTGATTAAATAACACTCACCAAATGGCCTATCACATATTGGAACACTTGCAAATTTGTTTGTTCGACGAGTTTTACCATTATAAAGCAAGAAGGCCAAGGTCGAGCACACTTCGACTTGGGATCAAAAAAAAAAAAAATTTAATGTTCTACGAATTTCAGTTGAAGTTACAAATATATGTGAATTCGCATGTGAAATGGCAAGTGGTTTCCATGTGTTTCCTATACATTCGTGGTTTTAGTCTGAGTTAATCGGCCATCGACCAAGCATCAGGCTCTGTATTTGAAGATGCATAAATTCGGCAAAAAAAAAAGAGGAATTTAAATGAATCTTAATCTATCTTATCATCGCTATCATCTCGCGCCCATTCTCGACGGATCTTCCGCTGCTTGCTTAACTAATCATTAATTACAACCGTAGCCGTTCTCTCTCTCTCTCTCTTTCCGTCTTTCCAAATCTCTCTCCATCTCTTCCACTATCTTTCCGATCGAACTAAAAACTGAAAAAAAAACCCCACCCCCCCGTAGCGAGTGTCTTGACTTTATATTTTGTATTTGTATTTCTCGTGCGCACAGAGTCAATCCGCTGGAGAAGATGCAGCTGGGAATTTTAAGGGTAACCATGCAGCAATACGAGCAATACCACTACGACAAGGAAATGCTACGCAAGCTGGCCAACAAGCTGGGACAGATTGAGATTGAATCACAGTGCGATTTGGAGCATGTGCGCAGCATGCTGAATGCCAAGTTCGAGGAGTCCATATCGTATCCTAAGGTCTCGCAGGACTGGTGCTTCATTGACTGTAAGTTGGTGGCATGCCACGTCCGCTGCCGTTGCTGCAGCTGCTGCCAACTAACCCACTTGCCACTCCATCCCATCCATCCACAGCGTGCACTGCTGAGCATTACTTTCGCATTGATCGGGCCCAGGAGCACTTGCACTACATCTGTGACATTGCCATCGACGAACTCTATATACTGGATCATGAGGCGGCCACCATGCCGCAGACACCGGATCAGGAGCGCTCGTTCGCGGCATTTTCGCAGCGCCAGGCGCAGAACGAACGGCGACAGCTGGATCAGACACAGGGACGCGGCACTGGCACTGGCACTGGCACTGGCACTGGCACCGGCTCTGGCACCGGCAACGGTACCGGCACCGGCACGGGTAGGCTTCTGTTAGCTGGCTGTTGGCACCGCTCGGCGCAACCACCGTCGCCGGCCACCGAGCTGCCGCTGCAGCAGCGTCTGCAGCTCTACCAGCAGCAGGTGGCCCAGCCGCTGCCCTACCTAGATAGGCGCATGTTTTGTCACCTGCATTATCGCAAGAAGCGCATCGAGCTTTAAGCGATGTTGTGTGTGTCCATATCCAGCCTAATCTCCATTCCTTACCCGAACACATCCCGCAACCAGGCTAATCTTTCAGTGTTTATCAACGTTGTTTTCTTTTCATTTTCATTTTCGTTTCCGTTTACGTTTTCGATTCCGTTTGGTGTTTAGCATTTTTTATTTTCGCATGTTTAGCAACTAACTGATACACACACATACACAGACGTGCACACACAAACACACACACACACACATATATTAAGTGCGGGAGCGAATACAGCTTAGTCCTTGCCACGCCCACATGTAAGTAGAGCATTCAATATGAGTATTTCGTATATATGTATATGTAAATGTATATATATGGTATATAATCGCCGCTTACGTTAACAGTTACTCGTAACAGCGACAAGGGCTAAACCGTATTCCGTTCTCGTCCAAAACCCACACCAACAACCAATCAACCAATCAGCCAATCAACCAATCAATCAATCAACCAATCAGCCAAAACTCAATTCCAAACAACACAAAAATTCAGACCACAAAGTGTTCAAATTGCAATCCAAAACACAGCGACGGGTAGGTTTGCCTCAGTGGTTAAGCAGTTAAACACTGATTAACTAATTAACCGATTAACTGATTAAGTGCTTAAGCCCTTATTGTTTTTGTTTTTATTCGTTTTCGTTTTATATGTGTATTTATTTACTGCTTATTGAAAATAACTTTATGCAAATGGCGTACTAACAATTTGTTAAACTCTCTTAAACCAAAACGCACACGCACACACACACACACACACACACACACTCCTCACACAAAACAAAGATGAGGACTTGCAAATTGGCAACAAGCCCATTAAAGTGATCAAGTGGAAGAGGTAAAACCCCAACAACAACCACAACAACAGCTTGCTTCCCAACAAAAACAAACTCATTTCACACGTTACGAAATTTAAGGCAAAAACACAAGCTACAAATAGACAAGCGAAAGCTGCTTGCATAGCTCAACAGTCTGGCAGCGCTCGCTCACGACAAAGAATTGGCGGTCTCGCTCTCTCTCATCGACTCACCATCACACTCTATTCTTTCGCTTTCACACTCTCTTATCTCTCTCTCTCTCTCTCTCTCTCTCTTTATTTATTAACATTAACTCTTTGTTTTGCTTCTATTGTTGTTCGATGCATGCAGCTGCAAAGATCGTTTATTCAGTTTTAACGAAGATGTTTTTGGTTATGGATTCAGGTACTCAGGTGTAAAATAGCCTATCACACTATCTTTGTCTAACTCTTGATATATATAACTGTCTATCTCTCTCTATCTATCTATCTCTCTCTCTCTCGCTCACTGTTACAGAGATCGCGACCATTTTAGTTCTATAAGACAAATGGAACATGTCGAATCAAAACTGATGCTTGAACTTTTCTTTTTATTTCTCTACTTTTCTATGCACACAACCACACACACACACAAACACACACACATCTATCTATGCACATTTACCGCACACACACACGCACACACACACACACACACACACACACACACACACACACACACACACACACACACACACACACACACACACACACACACACACACACACACACACACACGCACGCACACACGCGCACAAATAACAGCCCTATACTGGAGCAAACTTCCGATGCCATACTACTAGCGGCCCAGAGCGGCGATCTGAATATGGTAGCTTTAACTTTTCCGTTTATGTTTTTTTCTATGATATACTATATATTTTGTGTGATTTTTGTTTTTGTTTATGTTCATGTGAGACAAGCGCGCTTTGTAGTTGTGTATAAGAAAAAAGCAGAAGAAAGGCTAGCTCTCTCGCTCTCTTGCTGTTTTGTCTGATGTCTCTCTCTGATGCCCTCTCTCTCTCTCTCTCGTTCTCTTTCTTGTTTTGCTCATGCTGTATGCGTGCTTATTCTTTGCAGTTACGTGCACTACATGAACAAGGATACTCATTACAATCAGTGAACAAGAACGGGCAGACGGCGCTGCACTTTGCGTGCAAATACAACCATAAGGACATTGTTAAATATATCATCTCATGTGCCACACGCCGGGTCATCAACATGGCGGACATGGAACGGTAGGCACAAACTCGCGCTCTCTCTTTCTCTCGTTGACCACAACTGTCTCCCCTCTCTCTCTTTCTCTCGCAGCGGTCAGACAGCTTTGCACATTGCCGCAGAGCAAAATCGCCGCGACATTTGCGTCATGTTGGTGGCAGCTGGCGCCAATTTACAGGCACGCGACGCCGGCGGCAACACGGCTATGATGGTGGCATTCAACAAGAATGCCAACGAAATAGCCACCTATTTGGAAAGTAAGCTGCGCGCACGGCTGATCCATCCTTATCAACACCAAAGCCAAATAGCCAGCCGCCAAATTCCATGTAGTGCTCGCATAGAACATCATCATTTTAATTCCCAGCTGCAAAAACATGTCCCGAATCCTTGTGGTTACTTAGCTAATGTGCACGATTTTTCCCCAATTGCTGCCAACAAATGGAAAATGTCTGCTCCAACAAACTGATTCAACCGAAATACTTGCAAATGAAAACTCAACCAACAATTACAACTAAAATGAACAAACAACTCAACGTGAATATAAAACATTCCAATTCCAAATGCGACAAATGAAACTTACCCAAGGTCAAGAACGTTTCATGCATTTGGAGCTGCAAACCAGAATTTAAAGCCAAATTTAATTGATAACAACAACAAAAACAACAGGAAAAACGACAACAAGAAAAACAGCATAATTTGCAAAATTAGTTTTAAAGACAAAAAACTGTTGCCTACTTACGGGCGCGCAGAATTAAGCTTCATAGTTTGAAATTTTTGTTGTTAGATTCTTGCTATATTTTGAGCATATATATATAAATATATATATATCCAACATATATACATATATAAACTACATATATATATATACATATATGCATATATATATATATATATATATATATATATATATATATGCATAAAATTGTTTGTGTCTATATCAGATAATGGCAAAATGCATAGCTGCATACTAAACTAAAAACAAAATGAATTCAAAATATAATTAATTTTAAATTTAAGCAAAGTGCAAAAATACAATTACAATTCTCAACACAATAAGGCGTTGCTTCAGCAATTAAGTGACAATTTATTTATGCAAAACTCAAAAAAGTTAGATGCACTCATAAATACACACGACACACACACACACACACACCACACACACACACACAATCAGTTCACAGACTGTTGCGTGTTTTCAAAAAATATTGTTTTAAATTCTTTGGCAAACAAAATTAAAAGATGATTAAATTGTGATATATAAATTTAATTATACTAATCCCTACAACAAAAACACACACACACACACACAAACAACTGAAAACTTGATTCATTTATTGGACTTGAACAAAACGCAAAATGGGCCACGCGGCGTATAATTGATATATTGATATTAGCCAAGGCATTTGCTGTACATACAAATACCAGAAATAAACACAACAACTACAACAACAAATACAGCAACAACAACAACAACAACAGCAACAACAACAACCACAACAACAACAAAAATACAACTACAAGAAAAGCTTACATATTCGCGTATAGATTATATAGAAGCACATACCTATACGTATATTACAATATATATATATATAGAGTTTTTTTTTTGGAAATTTAAATCTAGTTAAGTAAATGAATAAACAAAAAAAATATGATATGTTGAAAAACTGTTGTAAATTGCATATTAAGCCAAAAGCAGTGCAGCAGCAGCAGCAGATGCTATGAATAGTTATATGCAGACAGGCATAAAGTATAGTAAATATAATTACCCAATATATGAATATATCTCACACACACGTATACCCACTCACACACACACAAAGCCCCATGCGCACACTCAATTTAAGCTATGCACAACCCAGAAAATGTTCCGTATCTTCAAGTCTTTCGGTTCTCTGGCTATACAACTCTTCTTCTCACATCCTTCCATTCTCTAAATATATATATTTTACACAAATATATATATATATATATATCTCGACGTGTTTCAAATTCAATCAAAGATTTTCACAGAGACTTAAGCGCCCGTCCTCACCCGCCCAACCCTCAGGCTTTATAGAGCCCAACTCTCCTACGATCAAAGCAAAACAACAACAAAAACAAGAACAAGAACAAAAAGAAACTAATACCTATAGATAACCAATATATATATTGTATGTATACATATGAGTATTTATTAAGACTATTCGGGAACTCTAAGCGACTTTATAACACAACTAACTACCACAACAACAACAACAACAAAAAAACAACAGCAACAACTACAGCAACAACTACAACAACAACTTTAACTACAACAGCAACAAGAACAATGAACAACAGGAATAGCAAATTATATACATATATATATAAATATATAGAGAACTATATCTATAAGAAAATATACATAAACATATATATATAAAAAAATATATATATATATTTATATATATACAGCTAAACTATTTTATCAAATAAAAAAAAAAAATGAAACACATTTACATAATAAATATTCAGACAAAACTTATGGATTCAAAGTTAAAACTAATCTAATCGAAAACGTATGTCACATATATATGTATATATAGACATATGCATATATATTAAGCCTAGTTGGGATACATTTTTTCATTAGATCACATTTGAATAGTGCTTTTAACTGTTAAACGTGCTAAAGTCAATTACGTTTCAAAATTTTGCAACCCAATTGGCTTAAGATATTATGAAAACAAAAACATAAACAAAAAAACAACACAAAAACAACACAAAAACAAAACACAACACAAAGAACAAGAACAAGAAGAAAATCTCACTATTGAACATAAGACAACGTAATTAACTAAGCAGTTGAAAACCTTAACTACTCTTAACTATTGTAAACCGTAATCTTAAGCAAATATATACTATGTAATTTAAATTATATACTTCAATTAAAGCCAAGCATGCTGCAAAAACTCACGCTGTCGTTCGGTCTGCTGAGCTCTTGGCTCGAGCATTTTGTTGGGCTACGAACGACAGCGTTTGTTTTTGCCAGTTATTATGTTTTGGATTTCATGCATACATTAAAATACACTATATATACATATATATATACAAACATATATAATATATATATATATATAAATATATATATATATATGTGTGTTTATATATATATATGCCATATATATGCATATGTGTATGGCATTCTAAGTGCGATTTCTCTGTAGGGCAATGTGTGACAGCGCTTTGGGGCATGCAGCTAAATGCCCCGCAGATGTGCGCCCGAAGTCTGCCACAAATTGTGTCGCATCAGATGCCAATGCAACAACATCAACAACAGCAACTACACAAAAATTTATTTAGCAAATGGCATATAAGTGAAATTGGGAAATAATACACAATAACACGTTTGCTAAATAAAGATACACATATACATATATAAACACACACACACACACACATATATATATATATATATATAAATAAATATATATATATATAAAGATCATCTAAGCTTAAGAACAAAACTCAAATAAATTAAGAATTCCAACACATTTATTTTTAATTTTTAATTTTGATTTTGGTTTTAACTTTTTAAAACATAATCAAATTGTAATTGAGAAACTTTCCGCTATGCTATCGCTTAACAATCTGATCAAATATTGAAATTGTAGTTTGGGGATTATTGAGAAGAACAAGTGCAATGTGAACAGTGTTGCCAAGTGGTACAACAAATTGTAGAGCAACGCTCTGTAAGTGGGTTAAATATACACCTGTTCGGAGAACAACCGGGTCCAAGACAAACTAAGGAATATATTTTCGTGTATTTTGTACAAATAACGAAGCAAGTCACATACTTATTTTGACTACATCCAATGCCTTGACAACTCTAAACACACACACACACACACACACACACACACACACACACACAGGTACATACACATATTTACCACAGACCCAGCACGCATATAACCTGATGAATGTTCTACATTTAAGCAAATATATAGATTGTTATGTATGTATGCGTGTAGAAGCGGGCATATATATAACTATATATACATATATGTATATATATATATTTTATATATATATATAATATATATATATATATATACATATACATATATAACTATATAGATGCTAGACACATGCATACATAGCATATTTACAAATATATATATATATATATTTTTTTCTATGCATATAAGGGAATTGTTGAACAAATGGAAAACAACATGAAACGCAAGTCTTATGAAAACCTAGAAACTAAGGCAACTGAAATTGTAAAGGAAGTATCTGCAACAACAACAACAGCAAGAACTATACCATTTATTGGTTTGTGAAGAAGAAGAAAACTTATATACTATATACTATATTCTATATAGCTACATATGTGTGCATACTAACAAACAAATATTGCGTCTAGTTTATACCCAATTATAGCTCTAATTTATTTATTTATGCTTTAAGCAAGAAGAGAAGGGCAGAAGAAGAGGAAGAAACGAACACACAGACACACACACCATCTCACACACACCACCACACACATTCATTGAGAGAATAAATATGGTTTATTTTCAAAATAAAATTCAATATCTTTTTTTAATTCAATTTTGATTTTCTTTAAAATATTTTATACTCTTTTCGTTTTTAAACTTATATTCCATAATCAATTTGATGAATTTCCTTTTATCTTTCAGAATTTATTCTCAGTTTATTTTCAACTTGATTGAAGCCAAAGACAACTGTTTTTGTTTAAAACATATACTATTTACTTTAAAATTAATTGAAATGAATGATTAAAGTATAAACTTACGCAAGTCTGAAAGTATTTCTATCGAAGAGTTCTAAACTGCTTAACTGTAAATTGTATATAACTAAAGAATGTACTTCAACTGAGCGCTATATGCAACACAGACACTCATATATATATATATATATATATATATATCTATATGTGCATATGCTCGACGCATTGTAAGATAATACACAGACATAATATACATATATACTATACACATAATAATGAACTACATATAATATATAATACAAGAAAATATATAATATATATACATATATATATATATATATTACTATATGTTTACACTTATATACTATAAATGGTTAAAATTTTTTGGTAGCTCTTAAGTTAAACATTAAACAGACAAAGGCAAAACGAAAACATCTAAGTACGATATGCACTGCAAGCACTGAGGAATTTGATTCAATTTTACTTAAGATAAACGAAAAGAGAAATTGAAGTAGCATTAAAATTTAAATTTAAATTTAAATTATGGCATTACGATTACAAATTGACAACTAAAAAAAAAGTAAAAATTAATTTTTTGAACGATTTCGAGAACCAACTGAATGAAAGAAAGCGGCTGAAAATGTTAGACCAAAAACAACATCAAATGGCAATGGGCAAGTTGCGAATGAGCCAACATACATGCACACACTTACAGATGTACAGATGTACGGATGTACAGATGTATAGGCTTATAGATGTACAGATGTAAGGATGTATGTATGTTACACAGAACGGATTTGTTATGCAGCACGTGGCTAAGGCCAATTACAAATGTTACTGGCACACACTTTACACACTCACACACACACACACACACACACACACAAAGACACATATACACACACACACTCACACACACACGACACACACACACACGACACACACACACACGACACACTCACGACACACACACACTCAAATATATATACTCCGTATTAAAGTAGTTTCTTGAGCTTCAGCTGCATTCAAGCTGTATTTCTTAGATGTTGCCCGCGCGCGCACACACACACACACACACACACACACACTCGCGTTCTTATCGTA